TATTATTTACTGACTCAGACATCAAGCACAGATTTTAAATATCAACTGGCACATGAATTTAAATATCCAGTGCAGTGTCTACAGCAATTGTCTCACAGCTTCTCTGACTTCACACAAACCCTGACAGCTGTTTGCATGAAGCCCCTGGGGGTGACTGGGCCTGTGTGATTTCAGGTAAGGTATTGTCACCTCTGATTCACAGGCCACTCCACACACTTTCTACTACTTTGCAACAGAGCATTGGTTATCATCTGCTGAGCTAGACTAGTCTTCAGAGAGGCAGCAACACCAGTGCTCCTTGCAAGAGGGTACAAAGAGTTTGTCTCAGTTTTGGAGATTCCCACGGGGCCAAAGTCAGTTATACCACGAGCCACAGGAATTGATTCTCTGTTCTTGTGTAAACTAAATATTTGGCTCTCATGTCAGTGTCATTGGGGCATAAATTCACGCTGACAGAGAAAGAATTAGTATCACCCCAACACAAGGATGATGCAAAAAGCTGAGTAGTGATCACACTTACTATACAAGAGTAAATAAAGTGTGTGAGGCAGTAATTTTGATTGTGAGATGTTTATAAACCTACTAGAAAAGCAAGTGAAGAAAAACATAACTCGTGCAACTTGAACTTTTATCATGAGACTAGTGATTTTTTCCAGTGATTTTTTCCAGGAGCTCCCTTTCCTCCCTTTGCAAGCAGAAAATGAGGTCTTCAGTTCCCATTCTGTCAAGATAACAATACAGGGACTCAACTGTCAGGCCAATACTTCCAGTTAAGCTCCAGAGAACAATAACCTTGGTTTCTGGTTGTGGTTCCCATTTATCAGTTTTTAGAAAGGGTCAGGTAGTGGAAACCAATTGACTTGTTTCCTCTTATCCTAGTAGTAGTTTGGGACTTCCTAAATTACTGCCATGAGTAATTCGATCAGCCTCAGGTGACAAAGTGGATCCAATACAAAATCCAATCCAACAAACTTGGGTAGCTAGTTACACCTAAATTTTGGGTGCCTCTTGAACCAGTCCTTCTAAGATAAATTCCATATATAGCCAGGGGGAAAGTGAGGTGCCTTTGAGAGCCTCCTGAGGGACAATCTAAATTAAGCAGGCAGAACCTCCCTCTGGAGTTGCTTTTCTAGGCATTTTTCTCTCCCTATTGAATATGGAGGGAATCTTGGCACTTAATTTAACAGAACTAGTTCACTATGTGCTCAAAAACATAGGTGTTAATTAGCTGCCTATGCCTGACTGGACCCCCCCAATTTAAAGTTGAAATAATTTATCTTAAAGACTAGTGTTATGTTATGCCCTACTAATACTTTAAAAAAAGAAAAGAAACAAACCAGCACGCTTTGTGCACTGCAAACAGATAAAAACCAGGAATGCAGTAAGAGGGTGTATAAAATGGGATGGAATGACCACACCTTACAGTTGCTGTTAAATAATTCTTGCTTTGAGTATATTGAAACATTGATTTGAATATATTGAAGCAATGTATCAAGTATCACCAGATGACACTTTTGACTCTCCCAGTATCTCTCCATATCTGCTTTTAGGGACAAAAAGTTCCAGCAGCAGTACTGGGGTGAAAAAACCACCTTTTCCTGTTGTGCTGTTCAACAGCAGAATCAGTCCCAGAAAGCTCATTCAGATTTAGGAGGAGTATTTTATACTATGGATGAGTGTCTTCAGATGTATTGATAGTAGGGAATACCACGCTCCACAGATTTTAGAAATCCCTCAGTTAGAGGAGTGTGTGGGCTTCTTCTTTAATTAAAATGAACTTTATAAAGAAAATTTAAATTCTTGGAGACATTATGAGAATTTATGGCTCTCACTGGCTAAATCAATACTCAGAAACCCACAGTTCTCCAGGCTGAGTCTGTACTGCTTGATGTGTGTACAGACATTGTGCACATAAATCCACTGTGGCAATGTCTGCCCGGCTCCTGTTCCCAGCGCCGCTTCCTCCAGCACCTGGCGACGTTGGGTGACTTTCTTAATTTCACTTTACTTCCCTCATCTGCAACGTAGAGATAATACTTCTCAGCTCTGCAGTGGTGCCAAGCTTGATTCATGAATGTTTTAAAGTATTCTGTGATTTTCACCCGTAAGGTGCTCAAGAACCATAAATTATTAGTTTAATATAGATCATAGTTTTCATCTCATGAATCTTTTATAGCACTACTCGAAATTCATGCCTGATAAAACTCTAATAACTTGAGCAAAGTTAAGCTAGGGATAAATTTGGTACTATATATGAGGCAGCAAAATGAAATTCCAAGTGTGAGACCAAGGGCTTAACAAGTGGCATTGAGTACAGAGTAATGTCGGAAACCTACCCCACTGTCCACTTACCTGCAGAAAAAATATCAGCTCATGGCACTCTAACTTACTAAGATCTTAATTCATCATTAAATGTCTGCCTCACAACAAAATAGTGTTTTTCTAATTTGTTCTATTGCTGTACATATGTAGTTTGTATTTACTGAGACTTAGTAGACATGATCATGTCTGACCTGTTTTGACCCAAATGTTTCAGTTGAAAACAGATTATTTTTCATGGGAATAAGCCCTTTAATAAGACACTCGTACAGCTTCTAATCCTTAGTCATGGGAGCACAGGACACAGGACTAGGAGGGATCCTCTGGGTCACGGTCCACTTCTCGAAAGCAATCACATCATAAAGAGCTATGTACAAGGCTTGGCAAAAGTTACTTTGTCTCTTTAACCTAAAAAAGATATTGTTCATATAGTTCACTGCTGCAATAGGTTCTTTTAATTCCAGACCAGATCTATTCATGGTCAGTTTAGAACTCTTTGTTATCATTCCAGCCTTTCTCTATAGCTGAAATAACTTTCCTCCTTCAATTTATGTATACATGAAGAATAACTATATGCCTACTCAATCTTCATTTTGTTAGCCTAAGCAAGGCAAACTCTTTTAGTCACCTGTAAAATGTGGGTTTTATTCTGCTGATAATTTGTGTGGCCCATGCCTGATGAATTTAGTGTATTTGTTCACAAAGTCAGAGAGTCAGAGAAGAGGAACCTATTTGTTTTATAACTAAATAAAAATGCTGTAAATACAGCAGAAAGAAGATACAAGTTAGTAAAAATTAAATCTTGTTGTTTGCTGATGAAGCTGATATTACCATCAATCTTCTTTCAGTTTTTTGGTAGAATTTTATCAAGGGTTTTGAAAAATCTATGCTAGTATCAAACTAATGAATGCCTGTTGCTTAGCAGGTCTTCCTCTGCTTCCTCAGAGTTTATTACAAACTCTGTAATAAAGAAATTTCTAAGGACATAATAACCATCTTCGAAAATAAAAAAAATTATTTATCAAACTTCATACTTCAGTTGAATCTTGGAAAAATTCAGATCTTTATTGATTCTTGTCTCTTTCCCTGCCACAACACTGATTCTTATTATTATTGCTGGTCTTCCCAGAGTTTATCCTCTTATGTCCACGACAGCTTTGGGCAATAAAATGCCTTTTCAGCTGGTCTTAAGATTTTCTATTTTTCACTTCTGCAGTGGGTGCTTTCGAGTTAGAACCCCCCATGATTAAGTCACTGGTGAGGTGCATCTGCAGTCTGGGTTTAGCACATGTAGATGTAGAGTTTGGGACTTCTAAATGAAGTGCCCATATTTGCACGTTGTGCAAATGAAGTGCCCATATTTGCACGTTGTGCTGCCCACAGTTGGGCAGGCAATCACTCATCTGTCTCTCATGGCACTCATGTAAACTGGTATTTCAAGGTCCTGGGCAAATGCATTTGTGCATGTACAGAGTTAGTCAGCATTAGGTACCAGCTTAAATGTTTGATCCATTAAAATAGTGGACTTTTTATTTCAATAGCTCTGGTATTTCATTGCAACTTTGCAATACAGAAATCAAGTACTGAAGAGCAGTGAACCTAAGCTTAGAGGTAATCCTGAGCTCAGTGCCGATAATTAACAAACATGAGGATGAGTAAATACCCTTTTTTGCCAGTTTTAGTCCATGTTAGCATCTTAAATTTTAAAATTCAAATATATCTAGGAGAAAATTCTGAAAATTCAACAGTGTAAAGAAAGTGAGAAGAGAATGGCAAGAAGGAGGGAAGAGAGGGAAAAATAAACCTGAAAGTGCTCCAGGCAAAAGCAACAGAGGGAAAACATGTTTCCACATTATTAAGATACAGTAAATGCAGGACACACCATCAGGCATCCATCCAACTCAGCTTAGGTCTTGATCCTCCAGTCAGAGATAGATGGAAAAGAGGAGACTTTTATTTCTGAGACTTTTACCGTTTTTTCTTTTTAATCCCTAGTACATTAAATAGCTTGTAATGCACAAATTCCTTTTAGGTAGCAGAAAACCAATGCACTCATGCATTTGGAATAAAAGTGGAAAACTTCTCATAAATAAAAACTACTGTGAGTCTTCCCACAGTCAGAGCTCGTGCAGGAAGTTCATACACTCACCAGGCTCCATCCACTGTCATTCACATGTCGTTGTATGGCAGAGAAGTGTTTTCTGTCTCAGTGGGTTATTGTTTAATGGGCTAATGCATATTTGCTGGATGAAATGCTATTGTGGGAGTTCTGTGGGGAGGCATGCTACTGGTGGAAAAAAAAAAAAGGCCACTTCCAAATACTAAAAAAGCCCTGTTTAGTCTCCTGGTGATAGAGAAGGCCAACTTCACCATGGATTTGAAGGGAGTTGCATCAGGCCTTGTATACTTTAGCCCTATAAGCAATAGTATGCAATAACTGCTAAGGAAAAATCATCTTGCTGCTTTATTTTTGTGTGATTTGTAAAACAGGAATATAATTTTGCCTCAAAAGAGCAATTAGACTCTTTTTTTTTGAAAGCCAGATATATTTGCGGATCATCTAATTGCAACACTTTACTCTCACAATCAAAAATAAAGCACGTGATGTTGTAAGATGTGTTTTATTTCTTTAAATTCTTCATCTCAAGAACACTCTGTGACCCGGGGTTCTTTGTTGTTAGCTGGTGAATGAGCAACAGGAAAGCAGACCCCTCCTGAGCCCCTCCATTGACGACTTTCTCTGTGAAACTAAACCAGAAGCTGTTGCAAGGCCTGTAACATCGAACACTGCAGGTAAACAACATTCTTTACTATCCCCCAGTAGATAGAAATAATTTAATTTTATCTTATTTAGAGCACATTTTTTCAAGTAGTTTCTTGATTTTTTACTATTTGCACAAAATCACAAGCCAGTATTAAATTATAATTGTCTGAACTATTCATAGAAAAAAACTTTGTTCATTACATTTGAGGGCCAATATGATGAGAGTCAAACCACATCAGTTCCAGTCGATCTTTGGAGCTGAAATAAAAGCATTTTGTTTAAGTCTCACAAAAGTATGCACTAGTTTGATCAATTCTCAATATTTTTTTTTGCAAAATGTTAACCTATGAGAAAGCCACATTTAGTCTGATTTTAACCAAACCCATTCCTTACTCTAAAAAGATTTTTTTAAATAAAAACTAGGATGAGATAGCAAACAAAAAGGGAAAAGATATCAAAACAATTTATCAGGCTGAGTTTGGACACCTTAATAGTGAAAGGATCTAATACATTTCTCAGCTCCATTGTGTTCAATGAGACAGCAGAGAAGAGAAAAAGTAAGAGTGAATCCTGAAAGCCTTTTGAATGATACTGAATTCTATTTGATGTATATTGTCCTTTGGAGGTATTTTTAGAAATTGATCCCTTCCCACTCAGTATTTGTGCAAAGGTAATCAATGCAGTTGAGCAGATCACCAGAGATTCAATAAATCAACATAACACCACTATGTTCTCTTGCTATCTCTTAAAATGACTCTGCTTGTTAGAAGCCATTTAATTAAAATCTATATACATGCAAATTATTAAATGAGTAATTGACAGCTGGGCGATTATCTTCACTTGTAATTAATACGTGTCTAAAGCAGTATGCTGGAACACTAAGTTAAATAGCAATTTAAAAATAATATTTTTTCCTTTTATATATAGCTAAAGATATTACAGGGATGAATACAACTATTTCAGGTTGTTTAAGAATGGTGTTTGTTGTAAAAAAGTATCTATATATTGTATAGCTGCCTAGAATATCTACCAGATTGAGGGGCGGGGGGGTATTAGATTTATGTAATAGCAAAATAAAAATTTCTTATTCTATGAAGATTGATGAAATTCAGTCATTTGCCAAGAACACAGATAAAGCACTGCAAGAGATAATACAAATTGATTTGTCAAAAAACACCTGTCCTGTAAAACAATGATAAAACGACAGTTTTCCTATATTTTACATGCTAAGGAATTTTAAATGTTATTCTTTAGGCAACTTTTAAATTAAGAACCCAGGAAGATATCTACTCCTGCATTTTCCAAAATGGCATGTGGCACAACAGCAATGCCCTAAGCAGCTGTTACCAGTACTTGATAAATCATAAATCAAACCAAATCTTATCTCAAAGCTCAATTGTACAGGGAACCCTCACAGCAGAGGAAAATCTGTGAAGGCCACAGCCTTAAGACTTTGGATGTCTTTAAGATTTTCAAATGAGAAGCCTTTTATGTGAATCCATTAAACTGCATTAGTTAAGCACCTGAAATTCCCAGGCATATTTTAATGTGTTGGTCATCACCTTTAGCCAGGAAACACACACCTACTCTAGTCAGAGGCAAACATGTCAGAAATGTTTTTCCCAACTTAAACAAATCTGAAAAAGCAAGCTTTTTAATTAAAACAACATTAAATTATAACATTTTGTCTCTAAGTATTATCAGCAGGTCTGGATCTCCTGGATCTTAGTGAACCTGTCTTACAAACCCAAAACAAAGCAAAGAAATCAGAGAATCCATCAAGAAGTGAAGGCTTAAAAGCTTCAACTCACAGAAAGAAGACAGACAATCCTGACCTTATCAGTGTGGATTCTGAGCAGAAAGTCCAGGCTGCCAGAGTTGCAGACAAGTCTTCACTAGATTTTGGTAAGAGTGTAGCTATTTTATTAGTGCTCCATAGCCTTTCTTAGCACAAGTTTCTCCTGACTATTGTCACAAAATAATGAGCAACACCAGATTTTTTTGTTGCACCACGTTTTAGCAGAGTGTGTAACCTTTGCTCCACCTTATAAACTAATTGAAGCACTTTAAACTTGAAACATTTTCAAGTTTACATTTTACATTTTGCTATTATACATATTAAATTGTCACCAAGTGTGCTCATAAAGCTTTGAAACGTTTCTTTGAATAAAAGAATTTAGTCAGAGTGAGTCAAATGGTAGAAAAATCTATGGGGGTATGATGAGAAATTGGGAAAGGACACAAATGAGAGGAAGCCCATACATAGATGTCCTTCTCAGAACTGCAGATGTCAGAAATACACAATACATTTGTAAATACTGCTGTATCTATGCATATGAGGGAAAAAATTCCATTTCTCACAAGAGAAATATATTTATACAGATTGAAAAAAAATCCCCAAAACAACTCAATATCCTGCCAAGCCTGATCTATCGACAAGCTTTGGAAAAGGTGAATTTAATTTAGTTCCATCCAAACTAAATTACTTGCACTGCGACTGAGAATTTGCAAGGTAAATGTAATTTATACCAAGGCAGCAAACTTTCCATTCATCAGCACAGAAATTCTTTTAGAGACCTTTTCTTCAAACAGGAGCTCAACATCTGATTTTTGCACAGTGAGTCTGACATATGACTGAATAACATTGGTTGCCTACATTTTTAAATAGTAGTCTCTAAGAAAAGTCTTATTTTTACAATTAGACTAAATTACATACAAATCACTGATTTTAAATCAAGAGTTACACTGACATTCTGACCATGAATGCTAATAGATTTTGAAAAAATGTTGTGAATTTCCAAATATTTTCACAGCATATCAAATAGAAAGGTACAAAACATTTCTGTGTATGGACTTTAACTAAAGTGTAGTCTTTGGTGGTACCATTTTCTCTATAACATACATTTAGCAGAGGAGATAAAATTTTCTGCAGTAGTTTCTTTAAAAGATTCATATTTTCTTTATTTATTTTCCAGTTGATATTCATCATCCAGAGAAATGGGATGATGTCAGTTTTCATGGAGACAGGAGTAGCAAGGTCCACCCTTCTGCAGAGCGAATATCATCATCATCATCTAGAGCTCCATCAAAGGAGATTTTATGGTACAGCTTTTTGCTTTCCTTACAAAAATATTTCCATTCTAGCTTTCTTAATTCACAGAAATGCCTTCTTGATGACAAGTCATATCATTAAACCTGTTATGATTACACTAAATGTGCTCAGGCACACATTTTGGACAATGCATCATAAGGAAGTACACACTAAAATTATATTTTGCCAGCAATTTTCAGTGTTGTGAAAAGTAGCAGGTGCAATTACTAAATAAATGGTGGTTAGAATTCTACAGAGACATGCAATGGTCCAAATCCAGCTACAAACGTGAGTAAAATGAATAAAACAGGATAGTTGGCAGTGCAGTGATTTGACACTCACTGGATATCCACTGTATTTTGGCTTTGCTACCACAAGGGTAGCAAAGAAGAGGCAAGATAAAATATCCAACCCCTTTCACACAGTTAACTAAACTTGAGGGGTTGCAAATGAGGAAAGAATTGGACTTTGCCTTTGGGAACAGTTCATGCAGATTAATTCTGCTGCCTTCCTGATGTGTAAGTAGCACTCATTCTCCACATTTTGCATGGCCATAATTAGCATTTTCATGCACTAGAAGGTTTCTGACCAAACGATGCTTATCCTGTATTTTAACCTGCCCTTTTTCTGGGCATTTCGTTAACTTAGAGCTGTTCAGTTGACTTGATTTTGGTCCATAGGGTTTCATTTTCTAGGAAGAAAGAATGTTAGGACATTGTGGTATGAAAATGCACATATGCCAAGGTGAATTCCTGCATAGTGGTGGTTGATTCTCGGACACTGATTGCGGGTACAAACTTGTGTCATTGCCTATCCTTGTTTTGCCTGGATATGAAATAGAAGTGTATGAGTGAGAACACTGAGAAGGGTCCAGGTACTTTTGAGAACTGCCTTTTGATAATTCAGTTAAATTAAATACCCTAATTAATTGGTGTGTGTTTATGGACCTGAAAGATGTAATGCAGCGTGTCTTACTGTTCAGTGATGAGTGTGTAAATGCATTGTTTCTAGGTCCACAGAAAACAGATCACAGTCTGAGCTGACTAATGTCAAGAGTGCCTTGGACTCTGATTCTACATCAGAATTAGAACTTGCACCTGCAATACAGGTAAGGAGATTTGGCAACAAAAAGGTAAGGAAAAATTGTCCCATTGGCTAACCATTCACATTCTGGGACAAGTATTTAAGGGATGTTTTCAGGATCATCAGAGAAAAATACCTCTGAATCTTTACACCTCTTTGAAATTAATGTTGTGAAAATACCTTACATATGTCAGCACCTCAGACATTCAGAGTTTAATACTGCAGTGAACTGTCACCTTCTCGTACAAAGACAAAAACTTCGAACAATTTACAGCATCATCTTTTTTCTCTTCAACCAGTTCTGAAAATTCAGACATCTAATGGTTCCCTCTCCCTGCAACATATCTATTCTCAAGGTCTCTTGATCGAGCAGGAATCCCCAGAATTGGAAAATGGTTGAGGAAATCATTAGACCAATGTTCATTACTAATTTATCTCCACAGGTGGGAGAGCAGTGTGGTCAAAGGACTTTTTCCTGCAGGAAAAGTAACTCTAGTACAGAGGGTTCTGTAGATTTGCCCAATTCCACTGTCACAGGACAGGACAAGGATTCCACAATTCCACAAGGACAGGACCTTGTGGCAATTATTACTTGAAGTTGTAAGCAATTATTACGTAGAGTTGTATATTTTTTGGTATGTATGTATGCACAAACAGGTGCAAACATAGATTTAGATCTGCATTCACATAGATCAGGTTGCTTATACACCTTCTTTCCTGCTTATTTTTTAACTGAGGGATTTCTGCCATTGCCACTGGCCAGGGCAAGAGAGAGTTGTTTGGTGCATTAGCTTTTTGTTGAAAATAATTGTCTTCCCTTCCACAGCTATTTTTAGGCCTGGACTTCAAAAACTTTCTGTCAGATGGAAAATCTGGAAATTAATGGAAAATAATAGCCTCATTTGAAAATGGAAAAATGAGACATTAAAATGCTAAATGTGTTTTCTTAAATTATGCACCATTTTTTGAAGAAAATAGAATTAGAACCCAGTTATCAGATCCATTTCTGTGTTTTTGTTAGGAAAAAAAACCTACTTCCCTGCCATCTCTACATTACTAACAGGAGGGGGTTTTTCCCTCTGGAAAGCCTCACTCTAGTTGTAATGTATGATATCTTTTCTTTCTCTGCAACAGATTTATACTTCTTATTAATGGAAAAGATCTATTGCACAACATCATCCACTTGAAATGGATGGTATGTTCTCACATAATTTGTCTATCTTATCTTGAAGTACCTCTGACCCATTTTTAGGAGGCTGTTCCTCAGCCTAATAGATCTAAATTCCAGAATATTCATGCTCAACCAAGATGTGTGTAAATCAAGTAGACTGTCACAGAATTTAAATACCGTGGCTCTCTGTAAAAGCGATTGCAAATTTAGTATATAACATCTCTACTTTCTATGGTCTATTTCCTGTTTATCTTCCACTAGAATGACTGCAGAAGCAAAAATCCACATTTTTCATTCAGTCTAAGCTCAGTCACTTGAGGCTCCATACTGTTTTGTGAAATGACTGATATTTCAAAATAAAAAAACCATGAAGCTGAATAAGCCAGCTTGAAAAAGAAGCAGAGAAAAAAATTCTTATCTTTTGTTTTGGTATATTTCATGTTTTGTTTTGTTTTGTTTTGTCATAACCTGCTTTTTTCAAACTTATGGTCCATTCAAGTAACGAAACACTGAACTGGCAATTAGTAGTGCAGAAAAATGACCTAAAGTGAGGGTGAGTTCTTATTCTAGGTAGCTTACTTAGAAATTTAGTGGGTTTGTTCAGTGCCAGCTTCATCCTGCTTATACTTGGACTGCCAGAGTTGTCAGTTCCCAGCAAACAGGCTCATTGATCTTGACCGAGTTCTTACTGTGCTTGTAAAAGAAATCACGTTACAGCTTTTATCAAAGCATATGTTTTCCATACTTTGTCCTCTATAGGTTTTGTCTATCTCATTTAAAGGTAACCTTTGCATATGCAACACATTCTGCCATACCCTAAATATTCCATCTTGTCAAACATGCTGCAGTTTTCCATCAGCAGTTTCCCAGGCAATCACCTCATCACTCATCTTTGACATGTTAGATTTAGTTCCTCAAAGTGAAATGCTAAGTAACTAGGTCATATTTTCATTAAAATTATGCAATCTTCTTAACAAAATCCTGTGTTTACCAGAACTTGTATCAATACAAAATCCAACAGACAAGCTTTGAACTACTAAGGGGGAAATGTGTTTGAAGGCTGGAATATGCTCTCATGGTGGCTCCCACTGGATGTGGCTGTCTTGCTTCTCAGCATTTTTTCACATCATATTTTACCTATTACTAACTCTTAAACAGCATTGGCACTGTTCTTTTTTTTCTCTGCCATTCTGGAAAGTTCCTTGTTATGCTTTTATTAGTACTGAGATATCTTGCAGTGTTTGGGGCTTTTTTGAAGGCTTATTTTTCATCTTATAATTACAAAGTGCAGAAAGAGATAATATGCTCCATTGTCTGCACATAAAGTTTGCTCATGTTGTAGCTCTTTAAATGCTCCCCTGGGCATTATAGATATTTTATTGCTCACCTATAATACACAAAACCCCTCATATGCTAAAAAGCTGTGTCTAATTCTAATATGTCAGCACTCTTAGACAAAGGTATAATGCAAAGCCTCTAAACCTTAGAAATCTTCAATTTGAGGCAACATATTTAGAAAATAATACTGATTCCCCACTTCTCCTAAATAGCTAAAGTAAGACTAATGGCCCTAGTTCTCCTTGGATGTGCCAGTTACTCTCAGGAAAGGAAATGTTACAAGGGACAGATTTAGTTCATTATTTGAAGACCTGATCAAAAGTTAAAGCTGTAATTTAAGCCTCTCACCAACAGTTTAGATCCAGCAGCACAGAAGTAGAGTACAAGTGCAGGAAAGTATGTGCAAATGCATCAGAATGGAAGATTTCTTTTCCCTGAAGACAGCAGCCATGATCAGCCTCAGCACCTCCATTGAAGGGTGATGGGAATGTCAAACCATGGTGTCCACAGAGTGTCCACAGACACACCCATCCCACCCTGAGCCACACCCACCTCTGGCTCCCCTTAAGGGAGGCAGCTGCAGAGTCCCAGCCCATCACCAGCTGGAGATGTGGAGTTCTCCAGTACTGGCACTCCATCCCCATCCCCTCTTTTCCTGCACTAGTGGAAGGCAGCATATTCATTACACATGGGGTCTTCCATTTCTGGGTATCACAACTTGGAGAGTATAACTCTGCATTGTCTGTATGCAAATACAGCTTATGAGGAGTTTGTTAATGACCTTTTTTCCCCTCTGGCTGTGCATTTAATGGAGCAGAAAGTTTATTTCTGTGGGGGTGATGCAGGGACAATGGGTATCTTCTGTCATGTGGCAGAGGGGACCTCTATGCTTCTTGTCTTCTTCCCCCTCACCTCTCTGCTGTCCCAACAAGTTCACTCTCCCCTTCTGCAGTCTGAACATCACCTTTTGCAGTATTGTCCTTGACCTGAGGAATGGCAGTCACTGGAAGCAAAAGGGTAAAAAGTGGAAGTAATCAAACCATTTGCAAGAGCCAACTCATAAATAATGGAAAGGCTGGGAACATAATTAGTGCCTATCAACAGAGCTCTGTGTCAAGGAAAACAAACGTAATTCTTTGATCAGATTACAGGTCAAGTTGATAAATGTTGCTGTGTGATATTCTGCAAGACGTTTGAATTAACACACCATATTCTGATTTTAAAATTGGCCCCATACAGTAAGAATTGAGAAGGCACTAAACAGATTAAGACTGGCTAACATTAGATCTCAAGAGCAGTAGTTACTTACTAGGAAATGTAACCACGTGGGGATTCTTCTGTGATTCCAAGAAGAAACTGTGATCTTTAGTATTATTGATCTGGAAAAAAGTACGCAAACCATTCCAGAGAAAATTTCTTTATGATACAGCAGTGGAATGAAAAAAATGTAAATAAGGGAGTCGAAAAAATGAGCTGGTGACGAAGACATCTGTATAAATATGTATTCCAATACATTTCAGAGCCAGAATTCAGGCTCTACTTACAACACTATGCTGGAAGGCAGTTTGAAAAGAACCAATGACTCAGAATGTATGAGAATGTCAGCATGAGGGCTCCCTGTGTGGTACTGGGATAACAGAAGTGTGTAGAAGTGAGACAGGAGGTCACCTGATTTCAGTATAGAGAAACAGCAAGACAGGTATTAGAATATAGGGTTCATTTTGGTTGTCTGTATGGCTCTGAAAAATAAAGAGGGAGTGTAAAAGCAACCTCAAAAAAGGTCGAAATCTAAAAAAGATATTTCATAATGAGATCATTTAATATTGCAATGTCTTTATATTATTCAATGTCCTTTTATCATTAAAAACTTATTAAAATCATCAGTATCCTTCTACAGAGAAAATAAGGAGTACTAAAATGTGTTTTAAACTACTGGAGAAAAATAAGAAGTGGTAGTTGGAAATATCATTAAGGTCTCTTGATAACTCTAAATTAAATATGAGCACCTTCCTCAAAGACATGTACTCCAGACAACCTCAGTTTATTCTCTGTAGAACATCAGTTTGAGTGACAAATACCATCATGTGATATGTAAAGAAATGAATGATTTGAACCAGTTCTCTCTTCTGCACAAATTCTATTAATCAGTAAAACAGCTGGTTTGTGTGTAGGACTGGGTTTTGGTATGTTTTCAGTAACAACCTGAAATCTCTTCCTGGCCTCAGCAAGGGAGAAAAATATTTTGCAAACCACATGGACCAGAGGCAGTAGATACGAAAGCAGAAACAGATCCTCAGTGTGGACTCTCGGTGCTTCCTGTCACAGCAAAGTCCAGAAGCCCACACAGAATAACACCCACAGTGCCCACCACGAGCCTGTGCTTCTCACAGAATTTGTGCTGTACTGCTGTTTTCTTCCCCTCTGTGTATCATCCACCCAGTGTACAACTCACTCATCAATCTCTGCCCGTGAGACCAACGGCTCGGGAACAGTACAGAAACCTTAAGTCTAGACTGACAAATGAATGCCATTTTCTGGCTAAAAAACTCTGTGTACAACCACAGACATATGTGTTTGACCTTGCATCGCACACAACGTGTGTGAGAACCCAGGAGTGTGTTGGATGTTTCATCCCAGCAGTGCACACACCAGCATCTGCAGATACAGCCCAATGAGCCTGATGTGAGCAAAATTAGTCTTTTAGCAGTGTGGCTCATTGAAATTGAATATTACAAGTACAGTCATCAGAAATATAATCACATAAATTAATGCAGTTGGGACCACGGGCAGGCAAGTGGCTAATGAGTTTAACCTCTTGACAAACACGAGGGAAGGGATTAGCAGCCAGAGCTCTACTTAGCAAGATTAGGCCACTTTGTGCCTTTCTATGCCATCCCTAAACATTGTTTGGTTTTGTACAGGGCCTTTTGTAAAAAAAAAAAAAAATTGAATTGTTTTTAATAAAAGAACAGGGAAAAACTCTTTATGTGCCTCCAATGGGATCGACCAATAGTAAGGCACAGGAGAGCTGCTGATTGGGAAAAGGATTTGTCCTTCCAGTGAAATCTATGGCAAACTTGGCTCTCCAGTGTGATCCTGGAAGAAAACCTGAAAGAAAACTACAAAATGTACAGGGGAAGTGAGATGTTTTCTTCCTGGAGCGTAGGCAGTTGTAATGCAGGAGAAGGAACAATGAAGATAAAAGTCTTATATAAAATAGTCAGCTCTTTCCTTTTGTAGTCCAGCTCTTGCACTGCCTTTTCTTGGATGTCTCTTTGTCTTTCATGCACCCCGAGTGAAAAGAAAAATCTGGAAAAGATAAATTACTCTACTTCCCATCAGGAGTGATATAAGCTATGGTGTGAGAAAATTCAGAGGAATTCATGTAGGGAAACAACTACTTTTCCCCAAGAGAAAGGCTATTTGGGGCTCTGGACAATTGAGGAAATAACTCAGAAATGTGGCAGAGAGTCTATCATCCTTTTCTGATTTATTCTCTTATTTTTTAGGCACGATCAACTAGGGAGCAGCGTTGGGGAGCACCTCTTCTTTCCAGAAATCACTCCTTGGAAGAGGAATTTGAAAGAGCAAAGGCAGCTGTTGAGGTATTATTTCATTTACTGTTCCATTTTCAGCTAATGTTCTATAGATTTCTTGTTTATCTTGCAGCACAAGCATAGGAGAAAGTTGGAATTGGATTATTTAAAGCAGAGAAAAGACATAATTCCTGGAGTTTCTAATTTAAAATAGCATTTTATCTCATTTAAAAGAAAAAAAAACCAAACAACAAATAAACAAACACCAACCCTTAGCTATAAACTGAGATTAGACAGAACCAACTTTTCAAGCTCGATTTTTATTGCTATAGCAAGTGGGTAAAGAAAAATGCCCCATAAATGTAAGTACTTCCAGCACATGAAAGTAAAAGAGGGAAATATTTTTCCCCAGCAACTGAACGTGTGCACTCAGCTATTTAAGCTCAGACACAAACCAATTCTCTCCAGGGGAGCCTGAATTCAGAATCCCCGATAAACAGCACAATTACCTGCTGTAATGCAGACTGCACATGTAGCAGTAACCATGCACCATTTTCACATTTTTACAACAAGTGGCAGAGCATTAAGCACAGGAATATCCTTGTTTCCTGACAAATCAATTTGGTTTGAAAAGGGGAAGCTATTTGGATAGTTCTCCTGGTGCACTTTCATGGTTTTTTCACTGACTACGTTTCCAACATCTGAAACATCTCTTGAGTGTTCTCCTATATCACTAATCCCAACTGAAATCCTGATCCTGACTAGAGACGAGGTGGAATACAGGATTTTTTAAAAGAACTCAACAAAAAATTAGATATAAGCATCGATCTGGAGGATCATCTGGAGCATTGATCCATAAATGTTGTGGGTCCCATTGGTAACCCTGAAAAATCCTGTCACCACAAAGAGCCAAGACAGCTGCCTTCCACTGAGGACAGAATTTCAGGCTAAGTTATGTAACAGCCGCTGAAATGAATTTTTAGGGTGGAAAGGATGAGGCTGTGAAACCAATTCCTCAAAAGTCGTTATTTTTAGCATGAACTGAAGTCTCATTAGTCTCCAAACCATCTAGAACACTTTAGGGTTATTTGAGTTTCAATTTAAATTTTAGCCATGTGTTTTATTAGTCCTCTAACTTAAGTTTTTATACCATTCCAATTCCAGTGTTGGCAGTTGAACTATTCTAAATTAATATTGGTTGATTACAAACAAAACTATGCCTAATTCATATGCTGGCTTTTAGCTAGAAACAGAGTTTCCTTTTTAAGAAATTAAGCTGATTTGTAGGTTTTTTTTAATTATATGCTATGGTAGGAGGTATGGTTTCTACTATGGTTTCTTGGGATTTTATTGCACAGAGAAAAAAATCTTGTCTGAGCACACAAGGTTAAAATGGACACAAACAGTAACTAAGCTCTTTTATAAACTAAACACTGAAGGCATTTTTCTTGTCTTTTCTGCCTGCATTGCTTTTTCCAGATCAAGTAGGTTCTTTATAAACAACTGCTGGTGGGGCACAGAAGATGTTTTTGATGTCACACATCACACACATTTGCTCCTGGTGCGAAAGGAGAGACTTGTTTTCAAATTACCACTGCTTAAAATGCTCAGGGTGTTCCTAATTGCACTGCAGACTGATCCTGAAGGTGGGACATGATGTGCTGTAACCTGTGATGGCAACACAGGGAATCTGATGATGAACATCTTGGCATTAGTGGTTTAGCAAATGATGTCAGTACTGTTGCAATTGCCAGCAGCTGTGTGTGATGGGGAGTATCCAGACACTCAGAGAGAAAAATGAGTTGAGTCCAACAACAGGTTACAAGACATTATTGAATTACTTTATAGAGTAAAGTAAGAAGTATATATTTTATAAAAAAAAAAACAAACCTGCAGACTAAAAGGTCATTCTGAGGCAATAGAGACAGGTTGTTAAAATACTCTAAAGTAGTCTCAAAAACAGCTATTAAAAGGAATCTAATTAAATGTTTCCCTAACTGTGTAGCTGGCAGTCTAAAGTTATTCTTTTTGCTTAAAATACAACCTTGGACCAGGTAGTTAAAATGTAAAGGAAAGGATTCTTCAAGATCTTATAGAGCAGTTATTTCCATTTGCATATGAAAAGAGCTGAATTTTCATCCTAGATAAAATGAAATGGTAAGAAAGCTGGAGTGATTGAAATAAATTGGAGCCGATCTCAGAAAGATTAGTGCTTTCTTAAGCGGAGAACAGATACAGTTCAAAAATTCATTTTTTAGGTTTTGGATGTTTCTGCAATATTCTTCAATTGAGAAAGCTCCAAGTGGTAATATTAGCCAGAAAACTTATCAAGAAAAGGAAGCAAATCTCAGGTTCTTTGTGGCCTATTTTGAAAGGAATTAATTAACAATTCAGTAAATGAAGACACCAAACTTTATCCTCCACCCAGTATTCACTTTAGAGCTTTGGGAATGATTTTAAGATGTCAAACTTTGAGATTAATGAAGATTTGTGATGTAATTCTTTCTTCAGAAGTTTTAACGATACCTATGCCATTGGGGAATCTTTTAAGAATAAAGCAGTAAGTAAAATAGCTTTTCTATTAGAGAGGGTCCATATTCCCTCGCAGTGATTGGGTTCTTGCAGCCCTCACTACCTTTTCTATTCTTTTGGAAATTGAATTTGGGTTTTGCCTCATGTTTTTTTATCTTCATGATTCCCAAGTGCAGTAAGAACTATGTTTTAACATAATTTTCCTAATAATTAGCTCTTTTTTACCACTAATTGGTACTTTTGAATTTTTAAAAAATGCTAGCCTGGGATTCAGGTCCATCCTGTACCTATATTCCGTTAAAACAACTTTTTTATCATCTGCCATTCTAGTGGTGATAGATTAGGATAAATAGAAATAAAACCAAGAAAATGCAAAGACTTCCAACTGAGAAATGTCTCAGAGATGGAAAAAAAAGCAGTTTTGTTATTTTCTTATTCCACATTTCCCCCCATTAAACTGCAGATGCCACACTGTTTCATGAGCTTATGCATAAGAAATTTTGAGCTGTCCTTCTCAGTATCACTTTATTTACAACACAATGTCACTTGAACCATCTGCTGTATAATGTACTGTTGTAAAGCATCAGAACATATTACAGATAAATTATGTGACAATAGCAGGAAAAGATGGGATTAATTTCTTCTAGCCTAGGAACACATAGTCCAGAATCATCAGCTTTGTGGTTCCCATGAGTATCAGTGCTTTCTGTACCTACAGTGTTCCTGTCTCATTATTTAGACATCACTTCAGATGTGCCTGGGAACTAAGAACTTGAGTCACCAAGATGCATTTTATTTGTCACTCTCTCAAATCATGATGAGAATCTTTGCCTTGGTATATCGATTTTTGATATAATTTTTAATCTCTACATTTCGTTAAAACTTTCAATTTTCATTTTGAGAAGGTATCAGCTAAGGAAATCTTACCTGGTTAAAAGCACACGAGTTTAACTGTGTCTTTCACATCAAAGAGTATGTTGATGCAGTAATTCAAAGAAAAATGACAGAACCTTTCTTTGTTATGCATTGGTCAAAAAGGAATATTGCAAATTAATTTTTGACACTACAGGACAGGCAAAATTCTAAAAGTCATGAAAATAGGTAACTTTCTAATTTAGCCAGCAATATTGAAAAAGTGCACCCCCCTCCCCCTTTCACTGCATAATAGGAAGTAGAGAGCCTGGAAATATTTTGCCTCCCGTTTGTTTAACTGCTTCAGCATATTTTTGAATACTAAGAGTAAAAATAGCCTCTTTGACAAAATGCAGAATTTTCTGCTTGGAAGTAGTCAGATGGTATGAACATTTTTCCTGGTTGTCATTCCACTTAAGTGCTGCAGATGATCTGAGAATGTGTTAAATGTGTTCAACTGGTCTGAAAACATTTGGTACATCCAAAGTAATTCACCAGCATTAAGGCAGCAAAAACACTGAAATGAGGTTAATTGGCACCAGTGATGTAGCAGAGTTAAAATTAGGTCTAGGAGTGTTAGTGCAAAGCCAGATCTTCAGGAATGCTCAATATTAATTTAACCCTCCTGCCACTGAAGTCAATGAAAAAAATGCTACTAATAGCAGCTGGGATAGATGAGGCCTTCACCAAAGGCTGTGTGATGGTTACACTCCTCTTCCTCAAGGGCATTAAACTGCTCTGCTGCTGACATTGGGATTTGTCACAGCAGAATTACAGCATTTTATCAGGTGCCACGATCCAGGTGCCCAGTGCAGATTTGCCACACCAGTTTCAGAAACCCCCCATGTTGGATGTGCTCAGAACGCTGGAGCTTGGCCCAAACAAGCAAATCTTATCTCATCATTGCGAAATAACAGTTGGGTTATTACTACTTACCCCATGTCCAAGTAGTGTAGGATGAGTGGAGAGACATTACAGCAAAGCAGGTCTTCTCCTCATTGCATTTTCCCTCCCCTTTTGACTCACTGTAGGTGGACATCCAGCATGGCTACTTGAATGCACAATAATTCCATTGGCTTTTTACGTGGAGTATAAACACAGTGAACACCTGTGGGAATTAAAAATATGTAATTAAACAGCAGAATTTGAATTTAAGACCTAAACCCACTTGTATGCTTGCTTACTATGTGCAGAAATATGATTTGATATGTTTCCAAACCACTGATTCATAGGGAATTTCTCGGGGAAAAATACAAGTAAAAATTTAATAAAAACATCATATATATACATATATATATTCATATGTGCATTCATATCTATGAAGTTATATATTCATATATATAATTAATTCTATAACTTAATCTGCTTTAAAAAACATTACTAATTACTTTTCAGTAGTTTTATTAGTTTTAATTGGAAGGAAAGGGAAATTTCCACTCTTTCACTCACCCTGAATCTCAAAATTACTGCTAGTATAAACATGATCATGTAATTTTTATTTCAGTGCACTGTTAATTTGTACTGAGTGAGAAATGGTTGATAGAGGCATCTGTTGAAAAACAGGATTGTTTTAGGGATTCAGGTGCTTCTGGTCCTGGCTAAGAGTTAAAGAGGGAAGGACCTGATTCATTATCCAAGCCTTTTCAAAGCCTAAATGGACATTTCAGCACAATCTCATGACTATTTATAAGAATGTATTTCCTTCAAGTCTGGAATGAAAGCAAATTCTGAAGGTGTGCAACAGAGTGGTCAAGTGCTCTTTGCTTCTATTACCCAGAGTGAAATCTCCTCTCCAGGAGTGAATGATTCCCATTCAGAGGAACATTGCAGGTACTTCCACAATTGCATAATTCAGACAATTTTGAGTCCCCTGAGTGCTGGATATCAGGAGGCACATGCTTTCCTTTCTCCAAGTACCTAAGGAACTTGCAGCAAGTCCTGCAATCACAGACTAAGCTCCGTTTTTCAAATCATGCCTGGATGTGGAGCAGTAGCAAAAATGTCAGTCTTGTAAGAAATATTACATTTCTAACCTGAATAGAATCATTTGTGCTGTTTTCTTTGACATAAATAAGTTGGGAAACTGTGCCCCCAGTAGTGTCATTTCACTGAAGCTCTGGCCATGACCTTGCAGGAACTGGGGAATTTTGGAAAGGTCCCTAGTGCTGAGCAGATATTCTGCTATGGATCTGCTTTTTGGGGGCTTATGACTAATCTGTGCAGACCGAAATGGCACCTAAACTTGGATTCTCCCCTCTTTTTAAATCCCATTTCTGTTTTTTGGCATCATTTTCTAGTAGCCACAGTGGTTCCCTCTGTCTGGTCGTTGCACATCCTAAATCTCATTCTTTTTTTCATAATTTCTGTTTCCCTTGCATATGCATTTTCCCCTTGTCTTTGAGCTGAATGTTAATCTTACTATACAATTTTATAATCTCTTGTAGATTCCTCTCACCAGCACAGTACACAATGCAATATTGAGATTTCTCCACTATGTTAAAAAGCCCAATTTCTATTAAATCTCTTATGCAAACACTCTCTGTCTAAGCTTTGACATTTCCCTTTCACAAAGCTGAAAATGATGCCGAATATACCAAAGAGGGATGCTTGTTCTCTTTTAAATGGTTTTATCTATTGTTATTCTTTAGCATATGCACTCAGTTGAATTTTCTTTTTTTTTTTCTTTCTTTTCTTCGGTCAGAGGCTTGCAACATTCATTTCCTTCAAATTTTCTGTAACAATTTGCTGTTAGCATCAATAAGATGCAGTGTAAGCTGCTGCAAATCCTGCTTCAAATAGGACATACTCTGCCTCTGAGATAAAGAGTTTTCTGTTGACAAAATGCATTTCCAATGTAAGAGATGAAATTTAATTACATGAAATTCCAAACATGAGCTGTAGCATTTCAGTCAGTGTGATTATTAATAGAATTAATACCATTCAGCAAAATTGACAGACCACTGGTAGAAAGAAATTAAAAGCTTACCAGTTTGTTTTAAAGTTTTTGTTGTTCATTTTCTCTTTTCCTCTAGTCAGACACAGAGTTTTGGGACAAAATGCAAGCAGAATGGGAAGAAATGGCTCGCAGAAACTGGATTTCAGACAACCAGGAAACACCAGGGCAAGTCACCATCTCAACCATTGAGAAGGTAACACCAAGTTTTCCCATCCCTCCTGTGCAACACTAAGATGAGACTCAGCTATTTAAAGGATCCCAAGGAAATTCATTGGATGTGGAAGTTAACTTTACCCAAAAGAGTTCATCTTCTTTAATTGTCTGTGAGTGGGATAGATTTAAAAGACCTTGCCATAGTGAGAATACATTTAGACTTGCACACTGCCTGAATTATGCTGAAAGGTTCACAAAGCAAACTACTGGATTATGGGCAGTTTTGAAGACAGGCACCTAAGGAAGAGCACCAAATAAAAATATCTGGGCAGCGACATTCAAACACTGTTGAGCATAGAAATGACAGAGATTCTGTCTCTCTTCTTCATTCCTTCCATCTCACATTTTCATTTGATTTCTATTATGTAGCTGATATTAGCATACACCCTTTACACTGCAGTGACAAGAAGAGAAAAAGGCAAAATTTAAAGGAACACTAAAATAAACTCAGGTGCTTGCAACACTGTTCTGTATCTGGAAGGTTAATTGAAGATTTCAGGATTTTAACTGAGTGGACATGAGGTTACAAGCACTGCAGGGAGTCAGCTTCTTGATGTGTGCTCTTTACCATTCAATTGGATGTCCTGGGCTCATGACAGGTTCAGCTCTGCTGCTACTGCAGGCAGTGTGAGTTGCTGCCATTATCTTTGATGGGAGTAGGAGAGCCCACCATTAGTACCAGTAAGTGTCACTTCAGAGCTAAAGTAAAGAGAGCAGAAACATAAATGTCTGGTGGCATTTTGCCTTTTTACCCTTTTTGTAATTGAAATTCCATGGGGGGGTTCATACCATTTTCACAGAACAAAGGGTGTTTACATGCAGCTGGAAAATGGTGAGTCATTTAATTTTTTGGACTTGTCATTCCCTGCCACAGTGCTTCATCACGGGTCCATTATCTCTCTTCTCCAGGGTTATTATTTCCATACTGAGAATCCCTTCAAAGACTGGCCTGGTGCTTTTGAGGAAGGACTGAAAAAAATGAAAGAAGGTGACCTTCCTGTTACAATCTTGTACCTGGAGGCTGCTATTCTACAAGAACCCAACGATGCAGAGGTATTCACTCATGTGCCTTTTACTGACAAAGGGAACGGGGACTCCCTTTAGCATGAAGTGATGGAAGGATTTTGGGGTTCCAACTTTTGCTGGTCATGATTGCTAAAACAGATTAAATTCTAAGAGTTTTGAATTAGTATATGACTTTAAATAGACAGCAGTGAGTCCTTCACAGGATGAGAACCTGTTTTTGTAATATTATTGTTTGAAATACTTCAAACCTTTCCTTCATATCCAGATGTTTTCGAAGTATCTTGTAAACACTGCTGTTGTAAAGATAACATTTTTGATTTAATAAGTGTTGAAATTTTTTTAAAAGATATAAATTTCCTTAATATTGCTGTTTTCAACAAGTATACTCTTAAAGTCTGTTTTTTGTGAAAAATATTTACAGTGTAAGTATCTAGGGCTCTTTGAATGTACTGCTGCATTAAATTAAGCAGCAGTATTTCAAAAAGCAGAGAATCCCCAAACCCTCTAGAACCCTTAAATCTATACAACTTAATAATTCTTCATCATTTTCCATAAAAATCTACCAACATTTAAAATGTACAGTAACTCAAATCTAAGTAATCAGCATGTGACCATACACTGACAGAATACCCTTGCATTCATTGACTATAAATATTTACCAGGCCCAAAGACATTCAGAACTGTATTGATTGGTACTGTTGGTATCACCCTGTAGAAAAATCTGTAGTTAGTCCTTGACAGATCTGCTGCTTTTATCACCCCTCTGTTTAACAGTGATATTAGTTGTAACTCTGTTTGCAATTGGATATATATAACAAATATGAAAATTATGATTATTTTTGCAGGCCTGGCAGTTCCTGGGTATAACACAGGCAGAGAATGAAAATGAGCAGGCAGCAATTGTCGCCCTCCAAAGGTAAATGAAGTTCAGTGCTAAATCAAGGGTCTGACGAGTATTTGGTAATAGAGACCTGGGGATATTTAATGTCATTCTTATCTTGGAATGTGAAGCATTTATTTAGCTGAGTAAAGCATTCAGATAGATATAAAAAGTTTCCAAGTGACTTCAGAGGGTGATTAATATTTCTGTTTTATTAAATAAGTGCAATATTTAACCTAGTAATTTAAGTAGCTGCACAAAAGAAAAGTTACATGGCCTGATAAACTTGAATTAGGCATAATGCAAATGAAGTGCCTTTTTGATATTCTAGCCACTTAGCATGTTTTCTGTAGTCTGTCCTTTAATGAAGAGGTTTTCTTAATTGGAGACAGCTCCCTTCAGCTGCTAAATGCTAGACTGACAACGTTTTTAGGTCGATAGAGATGTGAAGATCACAGAATGCTTGTATGTAAAATATGAGTTCCAAAATATCAGCATTATTATTATCTTTGTGTAATGGGCTTTTATGTTTCCATTTGAAGCAATATTCAATTGCATCAGCACTGTTAACCATGAAGTTATTTCATCTACGGATGCTCAAACTTATTTATATGTAACTTATGAGCTTACCTGGATAGAAATGCGAGGGGTTGCCTGATTTAGGGCTTGCTCATCCCCAGTTTTCAAACAAGCAACAGCAATGTTCACAAAATAGATGAGATTCTGTTTTCAGTTAAGTACATAACCAGGGAAAGACTGCTTGATGTGATTGTCTCCAGCTTTGTCAGAGAACAACTGAGAAATCAGGATGACTGTGAAGATTCATAGAGATGGAAAAAATTTTGGCTTCAAAATACTTTTTTGTAGAGCTGAAAACTGTATTAAACTGTTCGCTTGAAATTAGGTAAAGCTTCTCTTTGTTTACTAGGCAGATGTTACACAAATGAATCTACCTACAATTCCTCATAGTCAGAAGGATGAAAACAAAATTTTTATGTGGAGTTTTATGTACATATATGTGCATGCACAGCAATATGTGGCATATGTGTGTATACACGTGCATAATGCACTTATACAAAAATAAGATAATGTCCCTTTTCACAAGTATTATTGGGTAGATCTTATTTGTGTGAGTGGTTTTCTTTACACGGCTTATTTTGGAAGAATTCAAGAATTGTGTTTGGCTACAAAAATATTTCGATACATTTTTATTTTCTGCCCAGGTGCTTGGAACTACAGCCAAACAATCTAAAAGCTCTGATGGCCCTGGCTGTAAGTTATACCAACACTGGCCATCAACAGGAAGCCTATCAAGCTCTGAGAAACTGGATAAAGCAAAATCCAAAATACAAGTATATAGTGAGAAGCAAAAAAGGGTCCCCAGCGCTTAACAGGAGGATGTCTAAGACAGCAGATGAAAGGTAAATGCAGTGTAAATCCTGATGGTGGAAATTGTAACATCACTGGAACTGATGGTACAGGCTGTGCCTCCTTGCTCTGTATAAATCCAGCCTGTTCCTTGTAATGGAATACTCAGTGTCTCTAGTGGCAGGAGTGGGAAAACAACATAGGACATTTGGTTTAGGGACTGAAGGCTTTATCTCTTATGCCACCTCTGGAAGTCAAAAATAAAATAAATCATAAAACAGCTACAAAAATATGCTTCTCCTCAACTCCCATCACGTTCCTCTGACCCTGCCTCCTGCCTCTGTAATCCCACATCCTGCACCCTCATTCTTCAGCTGCTTCCACATCCATACCAGGCCTTCATCCTCCTCTACATTTGTGTGTTCTTCCTACTTTCATTGTTTCTCTTATATCCCAATCGAGCCACTATGATCGAGGAATGAGCCATTTTGCAGTGTGGTGTGGCTTCAGTTCTCTGAAAATACTGGGAGGTGGCATCTGCTTGTTTGAAAGCCGTTCTGGTTCTAACCAAAGAGGTAGCATGTCATTTTATTTGTCTTCAGCTGGCATCCATTTTAAATAATGGAATAATTTATGAGTTGGAAGCCCTTCGTCATGATTTCATGAGGTCAATAAACAAGTACCTCTGGACAGTGAGATGCATGATAAAGTCATTAAAGGCATAAACATGATTTGCAGAACTAAAACACTCAGGCTATCTCACTGCTTGTCATTTTGAAGACAGGCCTTATGTTTTACCCTTATCACTTACAAGTCCTGGGTTGACAAGATAATTGAGCATGAACAAAAATAAAATATGCAAGTTCTGCTTAATTGCTAAGTGTGTTATTCTACTTCAGCTTCATCCCGCTGACATCTGGTGCTGTCAGTGTAAAGGTTTTATGAAGCCTACAGTGGGCAGAGAAGCCTTGTATTTTGGCATCTTTCTTCAAAGGCCTTGGCTAGTCACTTATCTATTCCTCTTAAGAATACTACTATTTTTGCCAGTAAAGAATGCTTTTATGTCCTAGAAACTCATGTAATCTGAATTGTTTTAATAACCCTTCATGTCATTCACTTGGGTTCACAGCTGTATTTCATTTTATAGATGAAATTTTTATTCCAGTCATGAGTTTACATCACCACCTCGAAGTAGATCTTTGCTGTGATGAAGAAGCTTATTTACAAATTTTAGGAATATATCACTCCTGACAAAGCCACTACAAGGATTTTAATTTCCAGCTATGCAATCACTATTGAAATATTTGTAAATAACTGTATGATGGATCTTTATTTTTTCACCCTTGTCTAGCTCATTACTCGAAGAAGTAAAGGACTTGTACCTAGAGGCTGCTCACCAGAATGGTGATATGATAGACCCTGACCTGCAGACAGGACTTGGAGTTCTTTTTCACCTGAATGGAGAATTTAACAGAGCAATAGATGCATTTAGTGCTGCTTTAACTGTTCGACCAGAGGTACATTTTTTACTTCTACATTTTAAAAAATTTAGCTCTACAGGCCATTTTCCTTCTCCTGTCTCGATCAGGCTGTTATTAATGAGATGTCACTTCCGCCATTAAAATTTCAATACCTGAAATAGAAACGTTAATTACAAGACAGCCCTGTTTAGAAGCAGATTTATACCTGTCCAATTTCTAGCTGTGGGCTGATTAATTGTAGTAGTTATATAAAGTTGCCTGTGAACACGAGTCAGAACCTCACATTCTGTGTCAATTAAGATACAACACTGTTATTTTCTGCAGTCCTTCTAACTTTGCAAGCAAAAACGAGCTATTCTGTCCCTTTTTGACATGTACAGTAGAAAAACTCATTTTCTCACCAGGACTATACGTTATGGAACCGTCTTGGAGCGACCTTGGCAAACGGGGATCGCAGTGAAGAAGCTGTCGAGGCCTATACACGCGCTCTGGAAATACAGCCTGGCTTCATTAGGTCCAGATACAATTTAGGGATAAGCTGCATCAACCTAGGGGCATACAGGTAAGTTAAAAAAATGTGTACACAGAAGGTCAGGGATCACAACTACCAAGTGAAGATTCATCTTCTGGCTGGAGCTATCTAAGAAAAAAAAGTAATCAGAATATAGCTACATAATCTCAGCTGTTGTAAAATTTTGTCATTAGTTTTTATGAAGTACTAGCAAAGCAATGGTACTTTTCTTATAGCCACAAATTCTGCATAATAAAACTACCCAAGCTGCTTAAGCATTTTTTTAGCTTTAAGCGAAAGTACTGTTATAGTCAGTGAGATTGTTCTCACACTTCAACTTAGTCCTGTGCTTAAGAGCATTTGTAAAAGAAAATATAAGAAATATAAATATAAGAAAATAAATTTCAGTTAAACTGCTTCAAGTAGTTAATGTCATCAAAGACACTTGCAGTATATCCTTCAGGACTGAAGGGTGGTATTCCAGCTGTCAGGTTAAGACAGGTAAGATGATGGGGAGCTAGGCTGCAATGAAGACAGTACTCCCAGATGCATGAATAGACTGGGCTCTGCATTGCTACAAGCCATGCCCACCTGTTTAATGAAAATCAAACAAGAACAATACGAAGAGACTGATGAACTGCATGGTAAAATAATGCATCAGAGTCTGGCATGGAACTTTAGAAAGTTTTACTCTATTCTGTCTTTTTTCCCTCTTCCCTACAGAGAGGCTGTCAGCAATTTTCTCACTGCTCTCAGTTTACAAAGAAAAAGCAGGAATCAACAACAGGTTCCCCACCCTGCTCTATCAGGCAATATTTGGTCTGCACTTCGGATTGCTCTGTCTATGATGGACCAGCCAGAACTATTTCAAGCTGCCAACGTGGGTGATCTAGACATTCTCTTAAGAGCTTTTAATCTAGAGCCGTAATAAAAATATCCACAAATTGATTAAATTGTATTAGGAAACAGAACTTTTTTATTACTCATCCCCAAATGACCACATTTTCCAATAGATCATGACTGTAGATCAGTAGGGGAATTATTTCAGACGTTATTCGAAAAGGAAAAGTTCAAAAGCACAAAAATACTGTAAATAAATTCAAATTCAAATGATTGAAATGAGCTGTGGTAATCTGACAAAGCCCTGAATTAGATGAAATAGGAATTTCTGAAGAACCTTCATCCCATGCAAGCTATATCTTTCTATATATACACAGCTTTACAAAAAAATGTATACTAAGAACAAACCTAGATAATGGCTATTGCACATTAGAACGGCAAGCAGTGCATCCAAGGAACCTGCTTAGTAGCTCGTTGCACTATGCTGACCCCACTTTGCCCCACAATGGGGATTCCCTATCCTTTGATTTCTTTGATGAAAATTCTTATCAAGGTCCGTTTTTAACACAACTCTGAAAGTAGATGCATGTAAAATGGATGTGTTTTGTTTTGGATATATCTATTAGCTGGCAACCAATTTTTGCTTCCAAAGGTACCTCGGTTAATTTGGGCCCAGTTCTGCAGGCTCATAAACCATGTGCAATGTCAGGAGCAACATTGTCCATGGGGGTCTATGGGATGAGGTCGGGTACACGTGGGAAGGCCGAGTGTTGCCAGCAGAAGGGGCAATTTGCACTAGAATTGTTACTGTTCAAACCAGCTGTCCTTGATCTCGGACAGAGTCTGTCTGCTTCAAAGGAGCTCATGGCAGGGTCTGCACCTATCTGTGTACTTATGCACTTTAATCTTTCTTTTTGTAAAATAGTGCTATGCTTTTATTTTAGTTACCAAAAACAGAATGTACAGGATGGCCTTGTTGGCACAGAGGACCAACTATCATTTCCTGAAATGTAATGAGAGGGTTTTCAATATTCTTATGTTTAGAAAGATGCAAATACAGTATAAACTGCATTAACAACTAGAAAGATTATTCTATTATGCATCCATCAGGTACTATACATATACATGCATGTGCATGCACATACATGTTGTATCCAAATGATGTCATTTCAGAACATAAAAAGCCACAGATCTTTATTGCAAATAAAGAAAAATCTTCATAGGTGTTACTGCCTGCAGACCATGCTCAAGGGAAAACTTTCCCTGAAGAAATTGGTCTATATAGTGCTTGTAGGATTGAGACCAAGACTTGATCCTGCTATTATGGCAAACAGTAGCAAGAGTCTCTGTGACCTCCGTGAGAGCAGAGTAAATCCTTATATAACACCAGTATGTGTAGCTACTTACAAATGTGTATATAAACACACCATGTTAATTTTCCCTGATTGGATGAATGGGGAATAGTGTTGGGGCAGTACATTTCCATATGATGAATGGATTGATTGGCTACAATCAAACACATTTAGCTCAGGGTGAATGCATCAATCAAAGAAGGAATAGAAATTTTTTGGAGGTGATTTTCAGTTGCTGATATTTTTAATGTTTTTCCAAAATAGTGAGAGAGAAAAGGTGTAATTAGATGGCTACTGTGCCGACCTGTGGTCAGGAATTCAATGCATAGAATAGCTTCTGGAATGTGGTAAAGTGGGACAAATGGCACATTTCTTATAAACAACATTAAAAGAAAAATCCGGCTCAGCCAGATAAAAAAGAAATCCAACTGCACAGATCACAGAGAAAGAAGCTCTGTGGGAGTTGGACAGTTTCACCAGTACAAACCTTAAGTTTCTTGCAGCTGTCTGTTATTTTCAGCAACCACGTAAAGGAAAATTCCATGTAAGACAGTGTAATCACTGCATCTAATCACCATCTATAGTTTGTTAAAAACAAAGAATTGATAGTCATTAAAAAATAAAAGGCTTACCCCTCACTCTCCCCCACAGATCAGAGATGCTGAAACAGCTACAGAAATTTTTCAGGAGTGTTTTATTAATTCATTGTCTACATCTATATTCCTGTTTATCTATCGTTTCATAACTGATTCCTGCAGCTTTCTCTAAGGATGGGGTATGGGACTGACTGGGAATGTCACTTTAGCTAAGTGGGCTGCTGTATTCATATCTGCTGACAACAGTTTGCTCTTTTGCTTTGACAGCGATGTGTGATGACAGCTCTTTATTGATAAGGCAGAGCAGAAGGTGCAGTGCAATTGAATCTGGGAAGTGATAAGAGAGAAGGGAGGCAGCTTTGAGAAGAGGCTGTAAAGCAAAGGCATATGTGCTTAGATTTTGCTTGATGCCCTGCCATCATACAAGTTCCCCTAGAATATCCTCTGCGCTGTGGTGTAGGATAATCAGTGCTTACCCAGAGGAATTAGCTGTTCAGGAACTTTATTTTTATATCTTTAAATTTAAAAAAACAGATATTTTTATATCTGTAAATAAAAAAAAATAAGTACTTGATTTCTCAGAGTCAGAATGACAAAGGGCATTTGATACCCATGGCAGTCCACCAAACATCATCTTCAGCCTGTGGATGAGTAGCACAGCAGTTGTTAGGAAAACCTAATGCAACTCCAAGCCTCTCCAAAAGGAGACTAAGTAGGAAGTAGCTTTTAGTTTATCCTGAGATGCACTGCTCCAAACTACACTCATCTGCTGATGCATGTCCACACCCGTGGGATTGGTACGAGCTGTCTGTGTAACCTTGAGACAAATCACCAGGGCTGAACTCTGCCTGCTGAGGGGAGGCTCAGGCCCACAGGCCCATCAAGAGCACTGCAGTTCTGCTGCACAGAACATGGGCTTCAAAGCCTGTCCAAAGAGATGGTGCACACCCTTGGAGATTATCCCAGCCATTCTCTCCTGTTGTAGACAGCCTATGGCAAGTTAACCACGTACCACTGATTGAGACACTGGGAGAGGGGAAGGATAAAGCAGGCAGACTTCTAGGGGCCAGTGGCACATCTCCTCACACAGTTCTGTCCTGGTCAGTGTGGGAGAGCAGCTGGAGACTGAGCTCACCTCTCTCTAACAGGTCAGACCCAGCAGCTCTTGGGACTTTAGGGGACTTCTTTAGTATCCTGGCCTTTATCGCCCCCCTTTAGCCCCCACTGCCAAGCACTGTCATTGCAGCAGACAGGATTAGACACAGCTTTGATCTGACCTCCCCACAGCATTCCTTAAATATTCAGGGGCAAGCACGTATACTTGCCTGAAACAGCAAGAGGAAATGTGTGGAGGCTGCAGCATATTAACAACCTGAATAGAAAATTCATCTACTTGTACTTCAAGCATGAGGTGGGATAAATAAGGCGGGTGCTAAACAGTAGCAGATTGAGCCTGAGAGTGAGAGACAGCAAATCTGGGTCCTCTTCTCAATGCTCCCTGTGAGCTCGACCAAGTCAAAACCTCCTGCCATCCGTGACACCCAGGTGTGCAAGGAAGGAAGATGGGAAATAATAGTCATTGCATGTGGTGGCACTGTGTGGGAGCAGGGGAGTGGAGCTGTCCCACAGACTGCATGGGTGAGGTCACCACTCACCTGGAGAGGAAGGTAACACACAAACACAAGGTTGCCCAGGTCTAAGGAAGCAGTTTCACACACAGACTAGCAACTTCAGCAGAGAAGAGACTCGGACATTTCAGGGTAACAACTGCACAGCATCTATGGCGTGAGGCCAAATCAGAGTGCTGCAATGGTGTATCACCATCTCTCCCACCTCTGTTTCTTGTTCTTGTTACTCCCCTCTTTTTCCAGAGGTGATTTATCACTGCCAGGTAACTGATTCCAAGTTTTTGAGTCTTTTTTCTATTTTATATTTCATGCAATTATAAAGCATTTTCCTAACCCCCAGTTTAGGACTGTCCTTATCCTTTTTCTCTGCAAAGCTTTAAGAATATTTGTGACCTAGAAGCCTGATCCATAAAGCTGCCAAGCACTGGAACCCTGGAGTCTTCACAGGAGTGCTCAGTACTTTGCATGATCAGCTCACGTGCAGGTATTCAGTGACCAGGCAAGGGCTGGCTCTGGTACCACTGCACGTGCTGAACAGGCACTGGAATCACGGGGATTATTTATTGAGTGAGGCTTTGCAATGAAGGCAAAAGGCTCATTTCTGGCTGATCCCATTAAACTGTAATGACCACAGAAACTTTGTGGGGACAGGCTTATGTCAGCTTGAAGAACTGATTTGATCTTTAGGTACACAGATATACATACCTGTATCTAATGGTATTTTCTTATGATCTGATAAATCGTAGCACTTGTAAAAATATCGAGGGGGAGGTTCAAATGACACAAAACCTCATGTGACAATATTGCATGCAGCTACATTAACCAGTAACCACTCTAAAGTATTAACCCAATGCATGCAGTAATGCTACCTGAGCATGGGTTTACAGAATGCATGCAGAAGGCCCACACATAGGGTATTTTCAAACTACTGATTGATATCTTCTATGGAATATTTTAAAAGTACTTTGCTTCTGCCAAACTCAAATCTGACTTGTTCATATTATTTGGAACAGGCTAGACCAAAAGCAGAGCCCTTTTAAAATCCCATCCTTAGAAATCACTTTGTGTTGTGGATTTCATGTTTGCTTCAAGCGTTTAATTAATAACAGACATCTGTAGTAACAGTTTTTGCAGACATGTTTTAGTATCCTCTCAAGAATTAAAAAGCCAAATTTGCACAGCTTTCACAGGGAAGCTGGGTGTTTGGATTTTCACATTTTCTTCTCTAGTCTAAACCACACAGCACAAACTAGAGAAAAAGATTCCAAGAATCAGTGAAAAAACCGTTGTCTCAGTCTGCACTCTCTTACCATGGCCAGGCTTTTCAAACTTGCCCAGTAGCTCTGAAAACAGCTCAGTGTTCAATGTCCTATTTGAAATATGTAGATGTAAAACTTCACAAGATCTGAATATCTGCTACCTCCAGCTGAAACCTCAGCATATGGAGTTAAGCTAATAAGCCAAATTTAGAAAACCTGGGCCTGAAAAGGAGGACCCTGACAACACCAACAGAGCAACCAGGTGATCCTAGGAACATCCACAGAGCATGGGCCTCCAGGACACAAAAGCCACCATGGCAGAAATAACAACTGATGCAATTATTGGCAGACATTGTCTGTTGGAGCCAGTGAGAAATGGAGCAAAACGTAAATCGGTTGTAGATCTCTTTTGCCCAAACATGCATCTGCAAAATGAGACATATTAGTTATTTCGCATGAACAACCTGCACAATTGAAAAAATGTGATTTCTGGTCACCAGTGTTGTCAGCTTAGCAGTCTGTACAGTGAATTTATGTAATAAATGTTTATAATATGCCAAGTATTCACAGACTAAAACGATAAGACAAAATGCACTGCACGTTGTGAAAAAACTGGTGGATATGCAACACAGTATTATCTACTATTCAAACCCTACCTAGGCTAGAAGTCAGATTCCTTCATTATAGTTCTACTGGTTTTGGACTGGTGAAATAAATCAGAAAAAAGAAGTACCAGGCATAAAGAGATCACTGACACTTTGAACAAACCTAGGCAAAGTGAAAAACAGGCATGTCACAGAATCCATGGGAAGTTTCAGAGCCTCAGCCCACAAAGTAACAGGCATTCAACAAGGGAGAGAGACAGAAGGAATCTAAATTTTCCTAAAATACGCTGTAACTTTACAAATGCTTGCATATGTGACAGCCCATTGAGCAAGCTTGCATGGTCAAGACTTGATGTGCTTTGATCTTTTTTCCCCTTCTACATTTACAGAATGCCATCAACATTGGCTAAACCTTTAATTTGAATAGCCTTTTTAATATCAGTAAGCTATTGTAAATTCAGAAAAATGAAAGAAATTTATAAATATATTTTATATATCAGAGTATAACATATCTAGAGTAAAATAAAACTATATAGTTTTGAGAGGCATTCTGTGTGGCTTCCTCTATATGCTGTAAACTGTTTGAAAAAAAAACCTTTGCAATCTCGCATCAGTTCTTTTGGCTTTATTTTTAAGCCAACATACGGGAAAGAAGAGATTATAGGGTTGGCAGATACTTTCACCCGGGCCATCTGAAGAGCCCTGCTGCTGCCCAGACCTGCCCTGCTCCCTTCCCTCCCGGAGTGAGGGTGAAGTGCAGGCGCCAGGCCTGGCAGGGCGGGCGGTGGGTGCGGAGGTGGGAGCTCAGCCCGACACCTGAATGTTTACATTCCGTTACCAAGGCTCATATTGACCCAGATTAAGAATCTGAATGTAAGAACATAACGGGGTAAAAGATCAGTTTCTTACTACAGGTAGCTCTGCCTCTGTATACTTTAGTGCATTATCAGCTGTGTATAATATTAAACACAGACCTTTAGTTTACTGATGCTTTAATTTGGTGTTTCCTTGCACTGCTGTTTAAAAATAACCTATTTCCTCAAAAAAAAAAAAAAAAAAAGAACGATGTGCATACTGGATGTGTTAAATTTATTAAGGTCATCGATGACTATTTGCAGAGCACCACACTTGATGTAGTATTTTTGTACTGTAATGGAAGCATGCCTTCCTTGGGTTCTTTTCCACATATTAAATTGTATTTATTTACCTGTATTTATAACTGTGCGATTTTTAAATATGTTTTAAAAATAAACTTTGTCTGTGGCTTCAAATATTTCAAAATCTCTTTTCAATTTGAGAATGGTCTTGACTACAACTACATTAACTGAAAGGAGGGATCTACATCTCCAACTGAAAGAAAGGATTTTTTCAATGAGGTCTTCTGTCCTATTGCTTGCAAAGTGAACATGCTTTTCTGCTTAAAAATTAAGCCCAGAATATGCTTTTGTTCTCATTTTTCATAAATTCATTGCTACTCTGAGGCAGAGTTATTTTTGGAATTTATTTTTATTTCAACATGTTGATCAATTATACTTACAACTGGAATTTATTTCAGCTGAAGCCTGGCCCAAAGGCTTTTGCACAAACAGTCCACATGAGGAAAATGGGAAAAAAGTAGATCAGAATTTTTCCTGAAGACCATGCAACAATTAAACCAGAAGTAATAATATCACAAAACAATCTTTATGAAAAAAAAACAAACCCAACTTTCAGTGACTGAAATCACTACTCAAGCAATTTCCCAAACACCAGAGTAGGAGTTTGCTATTGGTATTTTTCAGTTTTGGCTTTCACAGGATGAGGCAAAGGAGCTGATAAGGACGATATGATTCCTACTCTATGCTTTTGCTATGAGACACCAACATGAGGGACAAAAATTCCTGTATGATGTTGTGGACAGAAAAGCTGGGGGCTGTGGACAGCTTGGAGGGCTGTGAGAGGACAAAGCAGGACCACACCAGCAAGGATCTGAAGGCTGACACTCTCCATGAACATGTGGGTTGCTCCAGAAAAAAAACAACTAGAAGATAGAGTCACAGCAAAAGGAAAGCTGTCTGAGTACGGCTTTAACCAGAACCTTCCACTAAAGGAGAAAAGGGAAGAGACATTAAAAACACACTAAGCCTTAGGATGAAAGTAATTGTGGGCTCTTGAGACTGGTGTGTTTCGCCAGGAGATACAAAGGTTAGTTTAGTTCTTGTTGCTCAAATGTACCAACAAAGCAGCAACAGGAATACCCATGAGCTACATGCTCTGTAAGGAACCCAGATCAGGAACACAGCACTGTCATCCTGAAGCCAAAGACAGTGGTTGGGAGAAAAGCATTAGTACCAAATACACAGAAAAAATTGCTCAAAAAATCAGGGAAGGATACTGGTGAAGACATGTGAAAACACAATCACCCACTCCACACCAGCTGTCAGTCATGCAGTATCTGTCTTCAATAATTTTATGGCATTTGTCTTCCACCACAGCTGTCAGAGCCTCCCTTATTCAAGTTAAGCTTGTAGTACACCTGAGGGACAGAGGTGTTACTTCCCACATTAGTGAGAGAGGGAAGAGTGTGGTAACTTGTGAATTATCCAATCCCACCTCCCACAAACAGTCTGCAAAAGCTAGCAAGTACAAATCCTACACAGGGAATTCTTGGATGAAGTTGGAACAGAGCCCTTTAGCTTGCACAAGGAGCCACTCTCCCACCTCTGCCAGCTGCTGCAAGTGGTGTGAAAGGTGTGGTGTGACTTGCCATGGTCACAAAGGACATCTGTCATAGAAAAGAGACCAAAATAGATCATTAAATTTGGATTTCAGAAGCTGAACCAACTTTACATTTCTTATCATTCAACACGTCACATGTCTTTTATTTCCACATCAGGAAGTGTCACTCGGAGCCCGGCAGATTTACCTCTTACCTCTCCTCCAGTTCCTGGTTCCATGATCCTATAAAAAGTAGAAATGCTTGTCATCCTCAGTCTTCTTTTTTGGCCTATTCTTGCACCTCCCAGACTCCCAGTGGTCACATTGCTATGTAAAGTCCTTACACGTGAGGAAAACAGACTTCTCCTTTACTGCAGATGAAATTTCTAAGTGAGTATGACAAATTATAGACCATGATAAAGCAGGAATTTGGAGTGAAATGACAACACTATTCCACACAAACCTCGCCAACCCTTGTGATCAAAGGACATCAACTGGCTTAAAAGTTAGAAACAAAAAAATCAATCTTGACTTAAATCCTGTTTTCTGTTTTTGCCTTGGTTTATATCCGCTCAGGGCTTGTGGATTTCTCTTTTTTTCAATCCTCGAAATGCCAGGAGTCACAAGAAATCAAGACCCTCATGAACCTCTCTGTTCCCTCTGCAGGTTATTTTTTTTAAGTAAAACTCCAAAAGTGACCACAAAGAATAAGAAAAGAGGTAGAATCAAAACATGTTCATGTCCATGTCTTCAGTTCAGACAGGAAAGAAAATAGCAAGAATCCACACAGTCTACAGATGTGAGAATATTTCTTTTTAATTTAAAACAGTTGCAACAATGTCATTCACAACCTTTCTCATCTTGAACAAATACTCTCCAAAAAGTTAACAGTGCTTCAAGCAAACAGCTCTGAGTGGTGCAAAGTAAACCAGGACAGACACTTCCAGGATACAACATTAAAACCACTGAAGAGTGAGTAGAAATCAGACATTGATCTCAGTCATTAAAGTAGGAAGGGTGATGGGGAAAACAATAAAATGTCCAGTTACATATTTTGCATAGTCTTTCAATGCATGAAAGCAGCAAAGAGGATAAAAATGGCTGCTGCCAGGATGGAGAACAAAAGGAATGAATTGGAGAGGCTTCTAAAGCAATCTAATGAGCTCTGGTTGCACCCATATTCCAAATGTGTTCTATGACCCAGTGGAGGCTGCCTGAAGCAAAGAACTTGGCTGAGGCTGGTTTCAGTTCCACCAAAGTGAGTCAGAGGTAATGTCTCTGAACCCAGGAGAGTTTCAAGAGATGGGAGTTCAGAAACATCTACACTTGTTGTAAAACCGCAGCTCTGAATAAATTAATTTTTATTCTAAACAAGTAGAAGTTGTTGAGTTTTTCTTCCTTCCAATTTCCCAACCTAAATGTATCATACATAGAAGTAAAAATCGGTCTGAGAAATAAGAGAATTATTCACTGCCAAGTCCTGGCTTGCCATAATTCTCAGGTTAGATTGTCTTAAACAGCTCACAGTGATTTTTCTTCCTCCATCCCTTTTTGGCAAGAAGCCCTCAGTACACTGAACCCTCCAGCAGCTCTTCCAGCACCCAGACACAGGGAGTGTGTCCAGGTTGTGTACTGAGGTCTGGCCCAGCACAACTCGGCACATATAGATTTTAGCAGACAAATAAATTATACTGTACTGATAAATTATTCAGTACAGCTGTTTGAGCATGGTTTCTGCATGCTGTAGTTTAAAAAACAAAACAAAAAAAAGAAACCACCAAAACAAACTCCTCTCCCCCACATTAGGCTGAAGAATCAGGAGTTTACATCCTGCTCCTCCAGATTCAAGATGTTCTTCACACATATCCCATCACAAAAGGGAGACAACTTAACCAGCAATTTGAAAAAGAAGGGAAGCCACTGCTTTGGGATAGAATAAAATAATACCTCAAACAGCTGACTGAAGAATTTCTAACATATTTCTAACTGCTAAATTTCAGAAGTCCTGTAAGCCCCTCCCCTAAACTGCTCCCTGCACTCCTGACCAACTTGGTGGTTTTGGGTGGGCAGAACATGAGTCATGAACTGAAAAGAACTTTCAGGAGCTGAGCTGCCACAGTTCCCTTACCACAGCCAGCCAAGGGCTCTTTCCTTTCAGTTACTATCTCCAGTTTATCTCCTGCCAGCCTTCTAAGTGTGCCTTGTGAAATCAGGCAGTCCCACAGCCATTACAGTTTCAGGATGCACCAGACAAACAGTTTGCAATAGTCCAAGCTCCATTCTTGATCCTACAAGACCAGCCATGCTTCCAGTTTAATAATGAACATGGGAATTACTCTGTTGGCCTTTATTTACCCAAAGTTTCTAAATAAAAAGGCAGTGGCCACCAGATCTTGTTAGTTTATAAATAGCCCTTTAAGTTCACGAGGCAAGAGGGAAGCTGTTATGCTGAACTTCCTTGGAATATAATTGTGAATTAAAAAAAAACAACAACAACTTTTTTTTTTTAAAAAGGGGAAAAATAAAAAAGCCTTTTCTCCTTTTTCTACTGCCAGAATGAAAAAACATGTAGATATACGGAAGTTTTGCTCTTTCACTTTAAATAGATGATGTATCACTGCATCATTTGCTGATCCCATTTTCAGATCTGCCATTTTCTGGTGAAGTACACAACTACCTAAAACATGGAAGAAGGAAAAAAATTACTGACAGCTTTTATTTCATCCAGAACTGGTGGCTCAATAATTACAAGGCAGCTGAATCTCACAGGGGACACTTATTAAAATGCTAGGACACCATGATTCCGTGTCAATAAGAGCACTAAGTGCTGGGAGTTTTCCCAGCAATTAGGCACCTTTACACCGTACAGAATTATTGCACTGGAATTTCTCTCCAAATCTTTCAAGATCAAAAACTGATTAAAAAAACAACAGTGTTTTTTGGCTCTGCATGAGGCTTTATGATCAGAGGGAGAACTATTTTCCCCCAAACACTGGGAAAAAAATAAAATACCCTACTTGTACCTAGACATTTAATTTGGGTTCTCTTCTGTAGTGTGTAGCTGCCTGAATTTTTGCTATTAAACTTGCAGGAACTGACTGCAGAGAAAATGTAATTACACTTCCTTGGTTCTCCTCCACACTGTAAGGAAGAGGGTTTTTTGACTGTTGCAATTTATTTTGAGGGCTCAGTAACATTGTACAAGGCAACTCCAGCAACAGTCTCTAAGCAGTGGCCAACACTGTGAACCTTTGGGGTATTTTTTGGAATCATGAAAGGTTTCACACTCATCACTGTAATTTTTCTAGAATTAGTGTTTTCAAATATAATTTAAAAGCCCACATATATATTCTTCATTGTGAAACAAACTGAAATAACACCAAAAAAACAAAAACAGACAGGAAAGGCCAGCCCCTACCTACCCACCCCTTCAACCATGCCAGAGACATCAAACACCTTTCAGAAGGTGTCTGTTGAAGAGATCAGATTATTGGTGTGTTTGCAAGTTTTAAGAAAGCTGAAATATCAGTTCAAGGTTTTTTGTTCTTGTTGGGTTTTGTTGTTTGGTTTTTTT